GGGCTGGCGGGGCCGGCGGGGCCCGGGTGGGACTGTTCACCGAGCTGTATTTGCTTTATTTGTCAGTCACCGGGTGCTGCTGTAGTGCTCAGCACTATCGGATCGGAATTGGGGGCTTGGTTCGACCGTTGCTGGTCAGGTCGCTGGCATGAGCCGCGATCGTGGCCACTGCCACGCTGGCGGCGGGGACATCTGCCCGGACCTTCTGCTCGGCTGGAGGCGCCGCGTTCCAGCAGCGCCCCGCTGCAAGACATCTGCAAGACTGCTGCTGCTGCGGCGGCACGGGGCAGAGAAGAGGCAGGAGGGGAGGGGGAGGGAAGGGTGAAATGAGGGACAGGGTATCGGGCGCGGGGGGTAGGGGGAGGGGAGAAGGGCCGAGAGGACGAGGGGGAAGGTGGAAGGGAGGGCGGAGGGTGAGGGCGAGGGGAGGGTGCGGCAGGGAGGGGAGACGAGGGGGAGGGCAGGCGATCGATCAGCACACGCGGAAATGTAGGCTACTCCCAAACAGTGGACGGGACGGGCCGGGGGACCACAGCCTGTGCAGCACTGTGCAAACCAACGTGCCCGCTCCGCTCCGCACGGCACCGCCAGGGCACCGCGCAGCTCCGCCGTGGCAGCACAAGCCCCGCCACGCCCCGCCACGCCCCACCAAGCCCGTTCCGTTCGCCAGAGTCAACCTGGCCGGGCCGCTGCACCGCGCCCCGCCCCGCCCCGCCCCGCGGCACCGAGTATGGCGGCGGCGCTAGACTCGCTAAGCCCCACAGAGGTGCCACTCCTCGGCGCGAGCACCGCGGGAGAGGCGGGCGGGGCGGGGGGCCCCAGAATGCACCGCGCCGGGCCACCAGGCCCACCAGGCCAGGCCACCGGGGGCGATGGGATGGGCTTATTCCCCCTTGCCAGGCTCGCCATCTACGCCGCCAAACTGCTACGAGCCAAAGCAACCTACCACAAACCCGGGGGCGAGCCAGGGCGAGCGGGGGAGGAGGAAGGGGGGCGGGGGCCTGAGCCGGGGAGGGCGGTCGATGAGGAGAGGGGGAGGGGCTGGGGGATGAAGGGGGTGGTGGAGAAGGGCCTGCTGCCATACACCCTAGAAAAGACACGAGTGGTCCTCGGTGGTCGAGCCACGTCTCACAAAACCCCGTAGCAACATGGGCGAGTCGGGCGGCGCCCTACAGCAGCTGCCCCACGGCCCCGGGGGGAACAGGGACCCAGGGCCAGCGCCCTTCCCCCAGGAACCTCCTCCTGCTCCACCGCGTCCTCCTCGGCGCCCGCCCTGGCGCCCTCGGCCACTGTGCCGGATGCGCCCAGGGCGCCCTTTGACGCGCATTAGGCGTCCGCGGCGGATCCAGTTAGGTGCCGCTGTGGGCGCTGGGCGCCGCGCCGTGAGGCGTAGCGGGGGGTGGCGGGCGTAGCGACAGCGAACAGAGCAGCTCGACCCGCCCCGCCCCGCCCCGCCGGGCCCGGCCCATCGCCGCATCCCCTCCCCACCCACCCCCCGGGCAGGTCCTATGTGGCAACCCTGGGCGTCAAGCTCTGGGGGTGCCCAGGGGTGCCCCATATCCGCGGGGGGCCGGGGCATCAGTTCCCGCAACACATTCGGCGGAGCAGCAAGCCGGCAAGCAAGGCGAGCGGCTCCGACCAACCAACCCCCCCGGGCAAGTCTCCCTCCTGGAGCGGGAGGGGGCGCGGGTGGGGGCAGCTACGTGCACCCGAGCACGGGGCCTCTTTTCGCGCCCCTATGCCAATCTCTCCGTTCCATACAAGTGCGAACCTTCGGGCAACAGAGAATATGTTGATTTTTACAATAGGAAAAGTAAATAACACAAGCAAGACGAATTAAAGGGCCAAGAATTTAGGAGACCTCCACAAAACTAGACATACACCAGAGAACTATACTACCCCCAACCCCCGGAGTTCATTTAAGCTTTCCGCAACCCTTATCACTGCGCCCTCCCTCACCACCCTCCCCCACCTCTCCGCGCTCTTCACCACACCGCAATCCACCCCCACCCACTCCACCTCCGGTGCGCGCCTCCAGCCAGCAGAGCCAGCACAGCGCGTCGAAAAATCTCTCCAAACACCTTATCCGCCCCGAGCCACCCCCGCTCCACCCCCGCTCAGCCCTGCCCCGCGAGCAACGCGGCCCAGCCCGGCGCACGGCTCCCGTTTCACAGGTCACGGGGAGCGGACCGAGAAACAAAGCAGGAGAGGCGGAAAACAGGGGAAAGAGCTGGAACATGGGCCATCGTGGTCCGCACGCCGCACGTGGCCGCCACAACTCTTTCTTTCGCCATCGACCGTCAAAATCAACATTCAACTTATCCATCTCACATGCGAACGCACCGCCCAGCCTGCCGTAAGGTAAGAGGTGCACGGAGAGGGTGGCGCGGGGCGGGCGGGCAAGGAGGGGGAGAGGAGGGGTGGGGACTCAGAGAGGCTATACAGCAAGCGGAGCGAGGCTGGCTGGGGCCCTTTCAGTTAGTGGAGCAGAGAGGCACGTCGAGAGGCTAGCAACCTCCTCCTCCTCCCTCCCCCGCCCCGCGCCCTCCACGAGGCTAGGCTGCGCCAGGCTTATCGCTGCCGGAACACCGGAAGGGACGGCGACACAGGCGGCAGGCGGCCACCATGGCTGCCAACCAACCCACAAAAAGGATTAGAGCAAAAAAGAAAAAAACCTTCGCCGGCCACAGCAGCCCTTTTAAGTGCCAGCCTATTACACACTTCCGAGATCAGTGTGCTCTGAAAAATAACAATAAAAACGCTGGCAGCACATAATATTTTTAAGGGTCTGTTAAAACTTTTCGAGAAAAGCGGCTGCATTATGAGTAGTTTAACGAGAATGGCCCTCTGAACCCAACAGCCGTCTTCGTCGATCCCATTCACACCTCACGAGTGTAAAAGAGAGGAGAGTGGGTATGGTTGGAGTTAGGGAGGGGGGAGGGGGTTGGGCAGGGGTTTGGGCGGGTGGAGTGAGGGGGGTGTGGAGAGGAGAAGGGGAAGGGAGTGGGAGGCGGAGAAGGGGGAGAGGAGGGGGAGGGGCCGCGAGCGAGTCGAACGCTGCCGCCGCCGCCGCCCGGCCCGTGTGGGGGTCGCCGTGGAGGTAGGCAGTCCCGCCGCGGACGCGCGCCTGGCGGGTTGCGGCAGCTCTCCTCCCCGACTGCTGCTGCCGCGACGGCGTGGCGCTGTGTGTCGGGGACGCGCCGCGCCGCGCCGCACCGCCACACGACGCGTTGCGCCGCACTGGGGCGGGGCGGGGCGGGGCGGGGCGCCCTCACTCTGCGTAGCACCAGCCAGAGCAGCGCTGCCCAGCCCAGTGGCCCCGGCGGCATGCCCTGCCCTGCCTGCCCAGCCCTGCCCCGCCCCGCCGCGGCTCGGCACGGCTCGGCCCGCTTCGAGAGCTTCGTGAGGGCTTGGGCATAAGTCACTACCCTTGCTGATACGTGCTCTACGTGCGGCCCCTCCCTGGCCAGCTCCTTTCAGCCGGTGGCCGCAGGGCGCCTGACCTCCGACCCGGGCCCGGGCCCGGCTAGGGGGTCAGCCATAAACTGCGTCGTGAGCACGAGCTAGAGAAGGAATGCCTCTTGCTACCATCACCACTCGCCCACCCTCCTCACCACACAAACGCGAACCAGCGAGAGGCAGCTGACGGGCGCCTCCATGCGATCACCTCCAGTCACGGAGAACAACTCGACACGTTATTCTTCTCATTCGCCATTTAGCGACAGCCCCTCCACTCACACCGCGGCGGCCCCGTCGTGGCCCCGCGATGCACCTGCGCTCCGGCGTGGCTCTCCAGAGCGGCCCTGCGGCAACAGCAGAGCGGGGCGCGGCCACGGGCGCCCAAAGACTACAGGAGGGCAGTTCCAGAAATACACCATCCACCTCACTGGTTACGGCTACACAGGGGGTGCAAGACGCACGCAGCCACCTTCGCACAACGGCACCCAGCGACGGGGTCCCCGGATGGAAAGGAGGGGAGGGGGGAGACAACGAGGAAACGGGATCGATATCGACGAGCACAACGACGACGGATGGTGCCCATACCAACATAATGACCATGATGATGTCATGAGACGAGAGCGACAAGTGAGTCAGCGCGAGGGACGCGAGCTTCAGGTGCTTTCCACCCCACCAGCCAGATAACGGCGAGCACCAGGGCAGCACTAAGGCAGCACCGGGCCAGGGCGGTACCAGGAAGGGGACGTCGACGACGACGTCAACAAACCACAAACCCTCCCCTCCCACAAACCTCTTCTCTTGGCAAGCAGAGCGGCTGCCTCCGTCAGCAAAGACTTCGAGAGACACATTTTGCTCTCCTTTTTTTTCTTTTTTTTTTGCGAGCGGGCGACCGGCCGGTCAGGCCGAGCAGGCAGGCAGGCCACGCACCACCACCACACTCTGGTCAGCATTACAGAGACGTTATACACCGACCGCCGAACCGACCAACCGGCTGCGTGTGACGTCACGCAAGCGACGGACCGGGGGGGAGGGGGGGGGGCATGCAAGCGCGGAGAAGGCAAGACGAGGAGGCCGCGCGGTGCATGATGGGGCGGGGTCACGTGACGCGGCTGGCGCGGCTGGCCCACCGCAGGGAGAGCGGAGCGAGTCAACGCGACACCCACCGCCGAGTGTCCGCACCTCCACATCCGATCTGCTCGACCAACACCGACCGCCGGCCCGTCCGGCATCGGGTTCAGAGAGGCAGGCGTAGCCAAAGGCTGGGGCGCCCAGAAGAAGTGCGAGTCCCCCCCCCCCAACACACACACACACATCCGCACACAAAAGAAACACACTCCTCGGGTGCGTTTGCTGCTCCCACAATCTGGACACTGCTACCCGTGCACCTCGCAGAGATAAAAATGCAAACTGATTTCAAACAAACAAGAAATAGGTGGGACGTCGGTTGGCCGGCGCACCATCCCCTTCGCCTGCACCCTAGCTAATGCTGAACACCTCAAAGGCATTTCCTAAAGAGAAAAGATTGAGGAAGCGCCAATTACCTTGGCCCCGGTGAAACGCATCTCCAAGAGTTCCTGCTTGCGGGGGTCCAGCGCCGGTGAGAATTGCTCCATTTTCACGACAGCGCCTGCAAAACACATACACACACGGGCAGGAGTAAGACAAAGGCCTGCTGAACCAGTCAGTCCCCTAACTCCCCCGGCCAGTGCCTCCAGCACCTCCGGGGCCGGGTGCTCCCCATCGGGAGGCCCCCTAGGCGGCCCTAGGCACGCCCTCCTACGCTCCACAGCCACCCCATTGAGCCCCCTACGGGAGCCTCCACAGCCCAGGCCCACCAGGCCACGGCCCCGAAACAAAGTCCCTGACCAGAGGGTTTGATTTTACAAAAATACATTTTTGAGAAGTTTTGCAAAAAAAAAAATGTTTAATATTATTTTTTAAAAACTTTTGTGGAAATGTTTCAATTTCTTCCATTCTTTTGCTGGGTTTCAAATTTCGCCGGAGAAAATTTCGGACTTTAAATTATCCCTGACGTGCTGGACCCCTTGAGCACGCGCCCTTCGGCAGCCGGTTCACAGAGTCATCCTGATGACGACGGCGACGCGAGGGCTCCAACAAGACATTATCTACTTCCTGCCCGAAAGCCGAGCTGAACGGACTACATCTGACCAGCTTACAGCCTACAGGGGGGCACGCGGTCCAGTACGAGCCTCAACAAGCAAAAATATTCGCAAGGGTCTTCTAGGACTAGGATGAGTTTATAGTCTCTACAACTGACACAAATGCCAAATTTGGTCACTCATTACCAAAAAACTAAATATGACAAATTTTGACACTAAACGGAGGCTGCAGGTTTTATAGTGGCTCTCAAGACAGTTGAAAACGACCTTAGCAACTGTATTTATTAGCTGACTCTAAGAGTGAACACCACAATAATGTCATTGGTTAGACAAAAAGCTCAGACACTTACCACCTCCTGCATTCCAGCAAGTCTCGGTCATCCCGTCAGTTTGAACCCCATTGGCAACCTGAAAATCAGATTTGGGTTATGAGTTGTAATTGAGATTGAAATTGCGTGGGGAGGGTTACTTGTGTACAATGACTAACAAATACTACAAAGTAATTAGATTTTTCATATAACAAAAATTGAAGAAGTTCTAGGGACTGTACATAAACAGTCTGTTTTGAAATCCTAACAGATTTTGAAAACACAGAACTTTCTTTTCATGTGCTAATTGTCCATTGTTATGTTAATGGTCAAATGGACACCAAATGCATAATACTAAAAAATCATCTCAAAAAGAATACAATCACTAAATGCAGGCTTAATCATGACAAAAAGTAAATTTGTAAGAGCATAATACTGACAAGTAGTTGACAGTTCAAACCTATGGGAAGTAAACAAACGAATATGATTTTTTATTTTTTTTTTCAAGGAATGACATTGTCTCTCAGATAGTTTCACTTACACTGTTATTTACATTATAGATCTTAATTTCGGTAGATTTATCTTAAACTGAAAACCACTATCACCGACACACAAACCTTCATGTTAAACAAACCTTCTAGGCAATTACATAGAATACATAAACATAAACAGTAATAAATTTGTTCAAAATTGGTCGAAGAGAAGGAATCAGACTGATGTCACGATAACTATTTCCATAGAACCACAAACATTTTCAGCATAACACAAACAAAAAACACATGGTAAAAGCAAGGAAAGATGATGGTTAATTGTATTCAATAGCCAAATCAGGTTCTCACAATTGTAAGTGAAAAAGAGGTAAATTTAGTTATTACTTTGCCAGCAACAGGCACAAATATTAATAGAATAAAATGTCAACAGAGAAGAATACACACAAAATTATTGGTATCATGTGCAATGCACAAAACTTATTTGAGGGCAATATTAAGCCCTTTCAGATTTATTTAAATTAGAGCACTGAATTACTACCCACCAAAATCAAAGGTGAACCATAGTAAATAATTCGGGTGCATGCAGGTGACCCAGCTGTGTTGTTTGTCTTTTAAAAAATCTTATGCTTTTGAACGCAAGGGGGAAGTTGCACTCTGAAGCACTGACATTTATACACAATAATATTCTTGAGTTTAGGTTACGTTCAACCTCAGGTCGGACCGTCCCAACCTCGGCCATTCACCATTTAGCCTGTAGTTGTAGAGCCTAAGGAGGCCCTACGGCTTCATGGTACGAGGCACAGACTAAAAACTACGGACTTTTAGAGAGCACAGGCGCTTCCTACGACATACTTAGAACTTAGGAACAAAGACATATAACCCTTACATTACTTCACAGACACATAGCTTGAAAATTGTGAAGAAGACGGCGGGGCTATCGTAGGCTAAGCCTGTAAGGGATGGAAACAAGTCGCTCTCACTCACTCACTTACCTCCTTCAAAATGCTGAGGTTGGGATTATCCAAAAGACGATCACCGCACTACATCCGAGTGTATCATGTCAACTCAACACTATCACTTCTGCTTGCCACAAAATATTAAGCACTTTGACGAAATTAAACCTAGGCCCAACTCACAGCCTTAAAACATGGCGGACGCCTGCCAACTTCGCCGATTAAATATTAATACTGCATGCTACCTCCCACCGTAAATGCACATAGTAGCCAATCTTCAAACACGTATGCAACTTTGCATTGTTGTGGTCACTCGGCACTGGTTCAAATACACATCCACGCGATAAATGCGTCGCGTTGTTTGCCGAAATACTTTAACAGTGGGCGTAGCCGAAACAAAGACCCGTCGGCTCAATTTGCAATCCTCGGCTCGCGGCAGCGGCGGCGCAGCTCCGGCAACGGCTGGGCAACGGAGGGCAGGCGGGGTCCCCTCACCATCACCGTGTGAATGGCTGTAGTACGGTAGGGGGCGCGTGGAGGAGCCAAGTCAAGTGCAAGAGAACGCTTCCCCAAACAAGAGCCAGAGATCACATTCTTTCTGTTTTCATTGCTGGCCCGTTCCAGCCGATACGCTGATTGTTATTTTGAGGAAATAAAAAATTATCGCGCCTCTGCACAGAGACGAAAGAGCGTGGAGGATATCAGATTCGGAGAGAAGAATGTAATGTTACGATCCATCTGGTCGGAATGACGCATGGTGATAGTATCTCGGTGGCTTACAAAGCACACCCCCGAATCTGAACTGCTTATCATCCAACCAGATTCGATTACCGAATAATTTCCACTTAGCCGCAAATGAGCTCTTACAAAATTTCAATTCGTAACTCCTGCTTTGTATATACACAGGGACAATAATATTAAATGAGAAGTCGTTGTTAGATACAAACAGGGAATTACTTGCGACATAAAATCGCAGAATCGTCACACTTAACCAGCGTAGGCCATTTTAAGCTTTCACATGAGTTGTTGATAGCGTTAAGAGCGAGTTTTGGATGCACTTTAATTCAAGACAGCTTCTAAAACTGCGGTCAAGAGAATGAGATGTGTAGGGTTGACGACCCGTCGGTAATGCCCCTCCACGTTTGAGGTTATCTTTGTACAGGTTCTTTTGTAACGCACTGTCCAGTTATCTGTACATATTGAGATAAAACTATCTCATTGTTCCAATGTCTTTCTCTTTAAACAAACAAATAATTCTATGAATCAAATGGTTAGAAAGAAACCCTTCGAGATAGGTAGGTCAGTTTCGGACCCTACCTGTGGAGAGGGGAAAAGGGTAAGAAGAATACGTCAAGAAGAAGAAGAAAAACGAAGTTCTGTTCTGTTCTCTCATCATCTGTCAAAGGAAAAGGTGAGCTGAGTGTGTAAAAAGAGCCAATCAAAGAGACAGACTAGAAAAAGTCAAATGTTTTACGAGAGAGGGCTCCTTTATTTTGTAGCAGGTGAGGATTCTCCCTTCAAATATTTAAACAAAACGCCGTAACAAATTTGTATGGATGATTTGGAGTAGCTGGCATAGTCGAGCTGTTGACCATCGCACTATGTTGTTTAGCGTCTTTCTGCTTGCTTATAAACAAATTGGGTGACCAAAGCTTGTTATTTTGAGAGCAGCTAATGTGTGGGTGTGTTTATACTTTACTTACGAAGCCGAGGTCATGTTTCTGTGTTGGTTAGTCGAACCTAACCCTCATGTTTTGGTTCACACTCTCAGAAATCGGGCTATTTGTGTGTGATTATTAGCGATGCAAAGTATTGCACCAATTTTGCAAATGCCTTATCTTTTGACTTATTTATTTTGTTTTATGGCCGTTGAGTGTAATCTGGAATTGTGTTCATGTGATGTACTTTTAACCTTTACTGCACGTACCTGGGTTTGGATGTGGGTCAATGACAATAATCTTCTCTGTTTATCTGTTATTCTGCTATAACTTCTATCAAAAGTTTAATTTTCACCATTTTGATGACAAAAGACATTATTTTGTTGAACCCGACTGCTTTAGCAATGTTTGTTTAATCCTATTCTATTAGAATATCACAATATTCAGCATAATATCAGTTGTGTTTTTGGATGTGCTAGTCTCTTGATAATAAATTTTCATCTTTATTGAAATCTAGTTGAAACAGAATTGTTTTATTTTTTAATTGTTAAATTTTTTAATTTTCTTGTAGATTACCTGTTTTGATGGCGCTGTTACAAGGAACTCATGGCTGAGGTGGACCAGAGGATCATGAGCCGTGGCACCAGTCCTTCCAAAGATGGAAAGCCTCCCTACAGGTAATTTTACCAGACCCCTGCAGTGAACTGTGAACTTGTCATTTCTCATTACTATCAGTTCATGAATTTATCAACCAAACATTTTTCCTGTTTTTACTATCTAATATCTTGTCCTATTACTTTCAGTTATGCGGCTCTCATACGCCTTGCCATTAGCAATGCTCCTTCTGGCAAGATGACTTTAAACGAAATTTACCAATATATCATTCATGCTTTTCCATATTATAGAGCAATTGGAACTGGCTGGAAGGTACGTGGGTCTCACAAAATTGTACAATTAGTTCAATTTCTATTCTGTATATGGTTGCAACGTTTTACTAAAGGAGGAAGCAAAAGTACCTCAACAGATATTTTCTTTACATTTCTTTCTCTTCCTCAATACAGAACTCCATTAGACACAATTTGTCTTTAAATAAATGCTTCACTAAAATATCCCGCACTAAGGATGACCCTGGTAAAGGGAGCTATTGGATCATAGATTTCAATTATAATAATGCTGAAGGTGGAACAAGGAAGAAACGCCCATCTTTGTCATCATCTGCCTCATCAGCTGGACGGGTAAATATTCCATTCCCCTTTTCTACCCGCCACTCCCCTCCCTTTTTTTCCCTCTATTTTAATGTTCTAATAATTAAATAATTAGTTATTGGTCATTATTTTTGGGAGTGAATTGCCACCCCCCAACCTCAATCTACATAGTTCTTTTGTTGTCTTTTTTGTCTCATACAATTTTTTGATTTTTATTTAGCATCCTCCAGCACCATACAGCCCAGAGTGCAGCAGCAATAGTAGTGATTTTATACGCCAGCCAAATCAGCCTAATGTGAGTTCAGCTGGTGGAGAAAATGCCCAGGAAGCGATCACAGATAGCAAAACTAAAGATAACACTTCATCAGTAGCCGATAATGAGCCATCTGAAGGTAGGCATCAACAAATGCTCTGCTCCCCTTGTTATAATGCCTCTTTATTATTGCCAATCTGATGAATTTATATTTTTTTTACAAGGTTGCAACAACCATCCAGAAGAGGAGCAGTGTGTGGATGATTTAGACCTGTGTGATGAGAAGGAGCTCTCCGCTGTTCTTACTGGATTACTTTCTCAGTATGGAATGTTACCTTCTGATGAAATACCTCCGGACGGAGAATGCTTGAGTAGTCCTTTCTCCGACTCTACTCAATCTCAGAGTTCACGTGGTACTTTGTCTTCAGAACAACAGAACGAGTACATGGATTATAAATCAGACCTCCAAACAGTTCTTCCAGGTCCTCAGAGCTCATTGATAAATTCTCCATTGTCAGTTGAAGATGAAAGCAAACATCAGCCAGTTTGTGAATCAAAACATGTGATACAAGTGCCTCATCAAAGTGACCTCAACCAGAGTAGTCAGGGCTGTTTTAGTGTACCTTGTGCTTCTCAAAATTACTCCCATCAAAACCAGTTTTATGGAGTAGACTCCCTGAGCTCGCAACCAAGCCAACCCGATCCTCAAATAAATGTTCAATCACTTAATGGCTCTGGATGGATGCAAGATTCTAATTATTACAGCAGTCACCCTAGTTATTTTAGTGCAGATATCAGAGCAGCTCAATTTAAGTCGTACTCATCATCACAGGACAGCAGAACTTCCCAGTTTAAATCTTATTCATCGCAGTATTACCCACAGATGCAACAGCCTATTAATAACAACTGTTATCAATATGCTACCCATGGTTACCGTGCATTTGTTGCTTCTCATAATTCAACAAATCCAGTGGGTAATTATTCACATCAGAACTCATGGCTTAGACAAGGTGATTCTGATTTTAACTGGGAAAATACACTATAATATTATTGATTGATAATTTAACTCGTCAATATTAATTATAATGTGTTTATTTGGTTGTGTTCAATGAGAAAGACTGAAAAAAGTATGGTTTCTATACCTTATTTGCCATTGTCAGAACTACGACATTGATTGTTATTTGAAGTATTGTAGTGTTAAACTTTTGTTAATTTGAGCCAAGTTCTTACTGTTTTTCATGTATTGTCATTTTGATTGTGTTTAAGAGTTGTCCTCTTCAGGCGTTCCTTAGATGTTCAAGTGTTTATCTTTTAACTACTTACTGTTACTAATATAATTCTGTTATCTAAAGGTAAATTGTGATGTCTAAGCTTTGTTGTTTGTCTGGCACAAGAGATTTAGAGATGCCCTAATAGAAAGTATTATCATACTGTTTATAAGAACCTGAGAAGGTTATCTAAGATGTGTTTATAATTTTGTCAGTTTGCTGTATACCCAATCTGTTGCATTGGTTCCATTTGATGAACTCCGGCTTAAGTAAAAATCTGTAAATGTTTTTCAGTTTTTTCGTATTTTTCCTGGCTTAGTACTTGAGTTTATTTTAAGTCCATGGTAACCATGATCTTAAATAGTTCTGAAACTTTTTCAAAATTTAAGGAAGCATCTATCTTCCCTACAAATTTTGTTCTTTTTCCCGCCTTATAACAAAAATAATATGTGTATGTATGTTTGTAAGTAACCTGACCAGTTGAATTTAGTTTGTGTTTTAGTTGGAAAAGAGCCTTAAGTTTATGATTTAATGTGTGATAATTTTTTAGATTTGGTGTTAATGTTACGTTTAGCTCAACCACTATAGTAAGTTATTTATACTGCATTCATTGAAACCAACTTTTAAATTGCAAGGCAAAAGCCAGTGCAGCTTTTCCTGTAGCTTGCACCCAGTTATATTTCTTCGCACGGAGTCCTTTTTATTTCATTTTCCAGTTTGTTTGTTTTTACATTTTATCCAATTTTATCCAATGCCAAACTACAAACTGAACAGCTTTTTGCAACAATGTCAAGGCTAAATATTGTTTGTGTTTCTGTACTTATGTACACTTGTATAAAGTGTATCTCATACACTGGTTTATCTTCACTGCATAGTGCGAGATCTTAGACAAATGACCAACTACAGTATTATTAGTAAAAAGGTGGTTGTATTGTCCATTTGAACACAACCCTCTCAGTCCTAATTTTATCCAACAAAGTTACTCTGACCAGCTTTATAAGAGTCTAGATTTATGATAATGTTTAATTTTATGTGTAACATTTTAAGTATTGTAGGATTTTCTGTGTATATATAATTGTTTTGTTTGTTGAATTTAATTCAGAGTACCTTACATGATTTGTAATGCTCAGTTTTTATCATCTAATGTTCTTGTTTTTGTGTGAAAAAAGTAGATAAATCTCCTAAATCTTGCCAGCTATGGTAAATTTTACTATGCTCTCTTTGTTGTTTTTTCTGCTTTTGTTATTATTTATAAGCAGGCTATTGCAATATTTCAAGGAGTATGTCAATTGTTATTTAAAAAATGTTGTTTTAAATGTTATTGCTGTAGTTTGTAGTTTGTTCCTACTATTTATGGAATTGAATCTCAAGGTTTGGTCTGGAAACTTATTAAGAATGGATGTATCAGGGGTAGACAAATTTTTTGAAGCAAATGTCAATGAGAGGAGACAAAACAAAAATTTTCTTTTTCTGGTGTGAAACTGAAAACTGCAAATCTTAATGAGTGAATTGCCACCCCCCAACCTCAATCTACATAGTTCTTTTGTTGTCTTTTTTGTCTCATACAATTTTTTGATTTTTATTTAGCATCCTCCAGCACCATACAGCCCAGAGTGCAGCAGCAATAGTAGTGATTTTATACGCCAGCCAAATCAGCCTAATGTGAGTTCAGCTGGTGGAGAAAATGCCCAGGAAGCGATCACAGATAGCAAAACTAAAGATAACACTTCATCAGTAGCCGATAATGAGCCATCTGAAGGTAGGCATCAACAAATGCTCTGCTCCCCTTGTTATAATGCCTCTTTATTATTGCCAATCTGATGAATTTATATTTTTTTTACAAGGTTGCAACAACCATCCAGAAGAGGAGCAGTGTGTGGATGATTTAGACCTGTGTGATGAGAAGGAGCTCTCCGCTGTTCTTACTGGATTACTTTCTCAGTATGGAATGTTACCTTCTGATGAAATACCTCCGGACGGAGAATGCTTGAGTAGTCCTTTCTCCGACTCTACTCAATCTCAGAGTTCACGTGGTACTTTGTCTTCAGAACAACAGAACGAGTACATGGATTATAAATCAGACCTCCAAACAGTTCTTCCAGGTCCTCAGAGCTCATTGATAAATTCTCCATTGTCAGTTGAAGATGAAAGCAAACATCAGCCAGTTTGTGAATCAAAACATGTGATACAAGTGCCTCATCAAAGTGACCTCAACCAGAGTAGTCAGGGCTGTTTTAGTGTACCTTGTGCTTCTCAAAATTACTCCCATCAAAACCAGTTTTATGGAGTAGACTCCCTGAGCTCGCAACCAAGCCAACCCGATCCTCAAATAAATGTTCAATCACTTAATGGCTCTGGATGGATGCAAGATTCTAATTATTACAGCAGTCACCCTAGTTATTTTAGTGCAGATATCAGAGCAGCTCAATTTAAGTCGTACTCATCATCACAGGACAGCAGAACTTCCCAGTTTAAATCTTATTCATCGCAGTATTACCCACAGATGCAACAGCCTATTAATAACAACTGTTATCAATATGCTACCCATGGTTACCGTGCATTTGTTGCTTCTCATAATTCAACAAATCCAGTGGGTAATTATTCACATCAGAACTCATGGCTTAGACAAGGTGATTCTGATTTTAACTGGGAAAATACACTATAATATTATTGATTGATAATTTAACTCGTCAATATTAATTATAATGTGTTTATTTGGTTGTGTTCAATGAGAAAGACTGAAAAAAGTATGGTTTCTATACCTTATTTGCCATTGTCAGAACTACGACATTGATTGTTATTTGAAGTATTGTAGTGTTAAACTTTTGTTAATTTGAGCCAAGTTCTTACTGTTTTTCATGTATTGTCATTTTGATTGTGTTTAAGAGTTGTCCTCTTCAGGCGTTCCTTAGATGTTCAAGTGTTTATCTTTTAACTACTTACTGTTACTAATATAATTCTGTTATCTAAAGGTAAATTGTGATGTCTAAGCTTTGTTGTTTGTCTGGCACAAGAGATTTAGAGATGCCCTAATAGAAAGTATTATCATACTGTTTATAAGAACCTGAGAAGGTTATCTAAGATGTGTTTATAATTTTGTCAGTTTGCTGTATACCCAATCTGTTGCATTGGTTCCATTTGATGAACTCCGGCTTAAGTAAAAATCTGTAAATGTTTTTCAGTTTTTTCGTATTTTTCCTGGCTTAGTACTTGAGTTTATTTTAAGTCCATGGTAACCATGATCTTAAATAGTTCTGAAACTTTTTCAAAATTTAAGGAAGCATCTATCTTCCCTACAAATTTTGTTCTTTTTCCCGCCTTATAACAAAAATAATATGTGTATGTATGTTTGTAAGTAACCTGACCAGTTGAATTTAGTTTGTGTTTTAGTTGGAAAAGAGCCTTAAGTTTATGATTTAATGTGTGATAATTTTTTAGATTTGGTGTTAATGTTACGTTTAGCTCAACCACTATAGTAAGTTATTTATACTGCATTCATTGAAACCAACTTTTAAATTGCAAGGCAAAAGCCAGTGCAGCTTTTCCTGTAGCTTGCACCCAGTTATATTTCTTCGCACGGAGTCCTTTTTATTTCATTTTCCAGTTTGTTTGTTTTTACATTTTATCCAATTTTATCCAATGCCAAACTACAAACTGAACAGCTTTTTGCAACAATGTCAAGGCTAAATATTGTTTGTGTTTCTGTACTTATGTACACTTGTATAAAGTGTATCTCATACACTGGTTTATCTTCACTGCATAGTGCGAGATCTTAGACAAATGACCAACTACAGTATTATTAGTAAAAAGGTGGTTGTATTGTCCATTTGAACACAACCCTCTCAGTCCTAATTTTATCCAACAAAGTTACTCTGACCAGCTTTATAAGAGTCTAGATTTATGATAATGTTTAATTTTATGTGTAACATTTTAAGTATTGTAGGATTTTCTGTGTATATATAATTGTTTTGTTTGTTGAATTTAATTCAGAGTACCTTACATGATTTGTAATGCTCAGTTTTTATCATCTAATGTTCTTGTTTTTGTGTGAAAAAAGTAGATAAATCTCCTAAATCTTGCCAGCTATGGTAAATTTTACTATGCTCTCTTTGTTGTTTTTTCTGCTTTTGTTATTATTTATAAGCAGGCTATTGCAATATTTCAAGGAGTATGTCAATTGTTATTTAAAAAATGTTGTTTTAAATGTTATTGCTGTAGTTTGTAGTTTGTTCCTACTATTTATGGAATTGAATCTCAAGGTTTGGTCTGGAAACTTATTAAGAATGGATGTATCAGGGGTAGACAAATTTTTTGAAGCAAATGTCAATGAGAGGAGACAAAACAAAAATTTTCTTTTTCTGGTGTGAAACTGAAAACTGCAAATCTTAATGTTATAGTTCAGTTCACACCCCCCCCCCCCCCCCATTTAAGAATAATTCTTCAAAATGTTGAAATATTGTTCTCAAGTTTCTGCCTGAAGTGTATTTTTGAAATGTTGGTGCATGTGCACAGTATCTCAAACTGGTAATCATGGCCCTACAAGCACATTTTTTAAAGAGTTAATGGTTATGATTTTTTATTATTTTAGACACTTTGTGGTCAATGAAATTTTTTTAGCCTGTACTACCATTACAATTTCTCCTTGAACAGTTGTCCAGCCTCAAACTAAGGAGGGCTTCAAGCAGTTACCTCTTTTGTGCGTCCATGTTTCTAGGTCAGATGTATTGAAGTTCAAAAGTAGTTGTATCTATGCACAGCATATGCTGATCTCATGTGTTCAGTTGGATTGCAGCTACAATAGCAGAATGTACCTGAAAATTTGTTGTCTTCCGTGAGCACTACCGTCAATTGTTCTGTGTAATTTTATAACCATGTTAAAACCAAGCAATCATACTGAAGTTGCTATCGTAGCTGCTTGTATCAGTGTCCACCTTTCCCACCTACCTAGTTCCTATTAGCTTTCCTACAGTCATTTGCTCAATATTGGCTTGTCTGTGCCATATTCAAATTTATCTGTCAAATTTGAAATAAAGAAGGAATAATGGCAATGATGTCTTCTCAAACCTTTTAAAGTGTTTACTGTCAAATGGTCTGAACTGTTATACCGTAAGTAACATTTTGTATAAAATTGATTATGACATTATTTACACAATTTGGCTGTCCAAATGTGTTGCACAATTTCAAAAACTGATAAAACTACCAAACGGCATCCAAGACTTGTCACTCCTCGAGGTAATGAGGTTACTTTTTATAATTTTTCAATTTGTGGACCAGCATTGATTGATGACTCAATTAATGGCTTTAAGCCAGTCTTTGATTCCACGGCAAATAAATATGTGGTAAGACAATCACAATTTTAATAGGTATAGCGAGTCAGACGGAAGAGTGGTACTGTAAAACGTGGTGGGGATACGGGCAGTAACATTCTTTCGTCAGTACTACACTATAGCTTGCTTTTGGAACACAGAGGAAAGCCCATAAACCGCACAGTAAGTATCTGCCTTTGAGAACAACAATAGAACAAGTTTAAACATGAACATTCCCTACTACAACGTACGACAAAGGTTGCCTAGTTTCCATGAGCCATGCCTCCCAATGCCTGCCTGCCATAGACACCAACCCCATTCAGAAACAATACTTTTTATCCTTGGAGGAAAATAAGCATTTTCAAAGAATTTGGGAGTCTTAACAAACAATTATGAAGATTGCCATAAGCTCTTAATATCATTTAAATCCATTTACTGTAAAACAGTATTAGGATAGCAAAATAATAACAAAAAGAGAAATAATTTAAAAAACTTTGTATAAGAAAAAAATACATAAAAGTATAACATGATAAAACTGAGCTCTTTACACACATTCCAAGTGACAAAAGCACAAATACACACAACAAATCAAACACAGCCAAATAAAAACATAACAAACGAACCTACTACATCAAATCTTCATTTAAGATTGGTATGTGCACAACAAGAAATAAAATAATTTGTTTAAAACAAAATTGCTTTTTTAAGTTTGGTGATATCCTGATCATTCTTATTTCAGTACAAGCTTGTGATGTAATAGTTGGTACAGGAATAGATATTTACATTTAAACAACATATTGTTTGAAGGACCATTTCCAGATCGTAATATGCGGATAGATTCAATTCCAACTTAAAGCTATCTAGAACTACTCTCTACAAACATTAATAGTGCATATTTCTGTCAGGTAGTTGTGCCACAATTGCTTAACTGCTTAAAATTGGTTGAAAATGACCCATATATGTGTATGTATGTAGTAGTATGTCACAATCACACATTATTAAAATAATGGGATGCATCAGTTTTTCATTTAAGAATGATTTTAAATGCCATTCAAATTCTGAGATTGTCTAGAATTTCTGTACTACAAACATATAACGTACATGTGGTACATACTTTGAGATCAATTAATTAGTTAATTATTTTTAACATAGAAATGATACACTGTCTTTTTATCTATCTTCTGTCTCAACCCAATAATACATTTACACAATAGTACACAAGAGGAATGGATGAAGTAAACAGTAAACCGGTATCTACCTAATCTAGCATGCTTATTCCAAGCAGCTCTGCTGCAAAGTTTGATTTTGAGCTCCTGAGGAAATAGTTTCTACAATGTCAGTTTCAGAAGCTGCAAGTTCTGCATCATCAACAGCTGTGCCTGTTACTTGATTTGTTGTTAGATTACTCCACCAGTTTGAAAGGGCTCCTTTAGCTTGGTTAATGGCTCCTCCTAGTAAGTCGAAATTTGGAAAAGTGAAAATTGTTTTACAATAAAATACAACTTTAAAGTAAAAAGTAATTTTTTAAAAAGAAACATAGAAAAAAAGGGGGGAAGAAAAACTCACCAACAGCTTTTCCAGTTGAAACAAATGTCTGCGTCACTTTTCTACGGTGTGAAACTGAAAACTGCAAATCTTAATGTTATAGTTTAGTTTCCACCCCCCCCCCCCCCCCATTTAAGAATAATTCTTCAAAATGTTGAAATATTGTTCTCAAGTTTCTGCCTGAAGTGTATTTTTGAAATGTTGGTGCATGTGCACAGTATCTCAAACTGGTAATCATGGCCCTACAAGCACATTTTTTAAAGAGTTAATGGTTATGATTTTTTATTATTTTAGACACTTTGTGGTCAATGAAATTTTTTTAGCCTGTACTACCATTACAATTTCTCCTTGAACAGTTGTCCAGCCTCAAACTAAGGAGGGCTTCAAGCAGTTACCTCTTTTGTGCGTCCATGTTTCTAGGTCAGATGTATTGAAGTTCAAAAGTAGTTGTATCTATGCACAGCATATGCTGATCTCATGTGTTCAGTTGGATTGCAGCTACAATAGCAGAATGTACCTGAAAATTTGTTGTCTTCCGTGAGCACTACCGTCAATTGTTCTGTGTAATTTTATAACCATGTTAAAACCAAGCAATCATACTGAAGTTGCTATCGTAGCTGCTTGTATCAGTGTCCACCTTTCCCACCTACCTAGTTCCTATTAGCTTTCCTACAGTCATTTGCTCAATATTGGCTTGTCTGTGCCATATTCAAATTTATCTGTCAAATTTGAAATAAAGAAGGAATAATGGCAATGATGTCTTCTCAAACCTTTTAAAGTGTTTACTGTCAAATGGTCTGAACTGTTATACCGTAAGTAACATTTTGTATAAAATTGATTATGACATTATTTACACAATTTGGCTGTCCAAATGTGTTGCACAATTTCAAAAACTGATAAAACTACCAAACGGCATCCAAGACTTGTCACTCCTCGAGGTAATGAGGTTACTTTTTATAATTTTTCAATTTGTGGACCAGCATTGATTGATGACTCAATTAATGGCTTTAAGCCAGTCTTTGATTCCACGGCAAATAAATATGTGGTAAGACAATCACAATTTTAATAGGTATAGCGAGTCAGACGGAAGAGTGGTACTGTAAAACGTGGTGGGGATACGGGCAGTAACATTCTTTCGTCAGTACTACACTATAGCTTGCTTTTGGAACACAGAGGAAAGCCCATAAACCGCACAGTAAGTATCTGCCTTTGAGAACAACAATAGAACAAGTTTAAACATGAACATTCCCTACTACAACGTACGACAAAGGTTGCCTAGTTTCCATGAGCCATGCCTCCCAATGCCTGCCTGCCATAGACACCAACCCCATTCAGAAACAATACTTTTTATCCTTGGAGGAAAATAAGCATTTTCAAAGAATTTGGGAGTCTTAACAAACAATTATGAAGATTGCCATAAGCTCTTAATATCATTTAAATCCATTTACTGTAAAACAGTATTAGGATAGCAAAATAATAACAAAAAGAGAAATAATTTAAAAAACTTTGTATAAGAAAAAAATACATAAAAGTATAACATGATAAAACTGAGCTCTTTACACACATTCCAAGTGACAAAAGCACAAATACACACAACAAATCAAACACAGCCAAATAAAAACATAACAAACGAACCTACTACATCAAATCTTCATTTAAGATTGGTATGTGCACAACAAGAAATAAAATAATTTGTTTAAAACAAAATTGCTTTTTTAAGTTTGGTGATATCCTGATCATTCTTATTTCAGTACAAGCTTGTGATGTAATAGTTGGTACAGGAATAGATATTTACATTTAAACAACATATTGTTTGAAGGACCATTTCCAGATCGTAATATGCGGATAGATTCAATTCCAACTTAAAGCTATCTAGAACTACTCTCTACAAACATTAATAGTGCATATTTCTGTCAGGTAGTTGTGCCACAATTGCTTAACTGCTTAAAATTGGTTGAAAATGACCCATATATGTGTATGTATGTAGTAGTATGTCACAATCACACATTATTAAAATAATGGGATGCATCAGTTTTTCATTTAAGAATGATTTTAAATGCCATTCAAATTCTGAGATTGTCTAGAATTTCTGTACTACAAACATATAACGTACATGTGGTACATACTTTGAGATCAATTAATTAGTTAATTATTTTTAACATAGAAATGATACACTGTCTTTTTATCTATCTTCTGTCTCAACCCAATAATACATTTACACAATAGTACACAAGAGGAATGGATGAAGTAAACAGTAAACCGGTATCTACCTAATCTAGCATGCTTATTCCAAGCAGCTCTGCTGCAAAGTTTGATTTTGAGCTCCTGAGGAAATAGTTTCTACAATGTCAGTTTCAGAAGCTGCAAGTTCTGCATCATCAACAGCTGTGCCTGTTACTTGATTTGTTGTTAGATTACTCCACCAGTTTGAAAGGGCTCCTTTAGCTTGGTTAATGGCTCCTCCTAGTAAGTCGAAATTTGGAAAAGTGAAAATTGTTTTACAATAAAATACAACTTTAAAGTAAAAAGTAATTTTTTAAAAAGAAACATAGAAAAAAAGGGGGGAAGAAAAACTCACCAACAGCTTTTCCAGTTGAAACAAATGTCTGCGTCACTTTTCTACCACCCTCCGTGTTCTGCATGGTACTGTAAAAGTTCAATCAATCAATCAACAAGGTCATTGAACACATAAAGTCACTGCAGTCATGAGAAAAACTTACTGGCTAATTCTGAGTTTCATGTCTGCGACAGAGAGCTGGCCTGCAAATGGATGGCCTGGGTTGACGTCAAGGATACCATCATGTTCTGAGGATAGCCAGACTTGATAATTTGAAGTAGTCTTCCAAGCAGTAATGAAAGCACTATTAAATTGATCAATTTCTCTACTGTTATCTGAAAGTAAGAGGATATCCATTTTTAGACATGCAGTGCTAAATCATAAGAAAGTCTCATTCAATTATTTTCCTATATGAATACACTAGAATACACTCACCTTGTAAAAGAGATGTTCGAAGGAGGCATAGGAGATAAACTCGAAATTGTGCTCTAATCCATTCATCACCACCCTCCCAACCAACTCCATCGAGAAAAACGTCATGTCTTTCCTCCGCTACATGTCTCACAAGAAAGTCAGCAAACCTAAGGTCTTCAGTGGTCAAATGCAACTGTCGCCTTAAAACTGGATCTTGTGTTTCAAGAGTAGCATTTTCCACCTACACAACACAATGATTAATTTGTTGACATTGGTTTATCATGCATTAGTACAAAATTTTAAAGCAGAACTTGCCTCAACTAAAACATCCATAAGTTGTCGTTTTTGTTTGAAAAGAACATTTGTTGCTCCCACAATGTAACCTCGAACATTTACATCAAACAGTAAATCCATGTATGGAAGTGATAAGTATGGTAAACATAAGTATCCCTAAAAAGAAAATAAGATGTTCAAAATTTAGCAATAAAATGTATTTTCAGCAATATAAAATGAACTGTACCTTAGTGAAGATTTGTAGGGGAGCTCCACATTCATCAGGATTTATTTGAGCAATTGCTGCAAGATTATTTTGCTGCCAGCAAGCAAGATCGTTGCTGGAGCAATCTCTAGGTAAGGGTTCCATACCAACAGGCCCACCAACACCAGTAGGAGAGGTGTTTTGGGAAGGAGTGATGGGAACACTAACACTCATGCCACCATCTGTCTCATCTTTTGCGGAAATATCCAACCATTTGTTACCATCCAAAGCGCCTGAGGAATTACTGCACTCTGCCTGCTCTTCTTCATTGTTAGTAAGTTCAGAGTTTTCAGCTATAATACTTCCTACTCCTGAATCAGTAGAACTTACATCTTGAGACACTGCTACTCTTTCAGGCACTGAATCCAAATTGGTTAAAGATTTTTCAGCAAACTCTTTGTCAGGACTATCAAAATGAGGAATAGGAGACAAAGGGCGAGATGGGCTGGAGAACAACAGTAGAAATTAACAGTTCATGGAAATCCACACAAAAGAGAATATATGCTAGTTCTTAAATTCAAAAGCAACTTACCGTACACAAGCAGATTCTGTCAAGCCTCTCTCTATCATACCAGGGTGCAAAGACAATAAAGATAAAATAGTGGAACATAGAGGCTGTACAGGAGAGCGATAAAATACAACTTTTCGCTCCAATAGCAACAGCTTAAAAAGAATAAGTGCTTTATGACGAAATTGAAGTATGAGATCCCTTGTTGACAAGCCTGGCACAAAGGAAAACAAATATCAGCATCCAGAAATTATAAAATGTGCACTACCCTTAACTTTAAATAGTAGTTGTACATAGATATATATACACAATAATTCAGAGTTAAAGAAAGTAAAAAGAAAAGGTCTCACCAACAAAGAGTTGGGGGGCAGACTGCAAATTATCAATTTGGGATAAACAAGAGTTGAGATGATGGTAAGTGTCTTGAAGAAGAGATACCTTACTGAAATCACCCTCATCAAAGTAAGCATGAGTTATGAGTTCCATCTTCACTTGAATGTGACCAAAAAGTGGGACATCACTCAGAACACAAACAGATTTCTGCACGGTTCCTCTGGTCATATCAGGGGTACGGTGCTTCAATTTCTAAGAACAGGATGACAAACCAACAGTATAATACTCATATCAAAACAAGAAGAAGCCACAAGTTACACAAATATAATATACCTCAACAGGAATTTGCCTGAAGCAGGAAATTCCATACACTGTCTTGCGAGGGTGTGTTAGACTGGGTAAATGAAAATACACAGTATCATCATCATAATTGTGAGATCCATCAGGTAATGCTAAAGTAGGTAAATATTTCCACCCTGTAGGGCATTCTGTCTCGTCTGTGGAACCAGGAACCAAGGGTGGGAACGAATACTCGACCTGAAAGCAAAATGTAGGGTTAGGCCTCTTGTCATGTGCGGATGAGTAATCGACCCAATCATCACATTTGAGTTTGATTCACAGTGATGATGATACCAGTAGAGTGCAAAAATTTCAGATGACTTTGTACAGTCCCCTGAGCATACCAGGTAAATGCTATTCTTAGTGATACCAAAAAAAATCAAGAAACTAAACGAACTGTCAAAACGACAATAACAGCAGGAAAAAGTTGCCAACGTTTCAGAACAACAAAGCACCTCTGCAAAAATTTATGCGGAAACAATTGTTGTTTAAAACATTACCTGACAGCCTTTTTTGTGATGAAACCCGACCACTAAAACATGTAAAATTGGATTTAAAATAGGGAGTTCCTGCGCATCCCCCTCATCCATGTCAGCCATTTTTCTCACCGCCCTCTGTCTGTTGTGGAATTTGAAGTTTGTTTTCATTCAGGAGGCATATCGGCGCCAAAACGAAAGTGCCCAAAAAGCAAAAAGCACATTTCCGAAGTGCACTTCATTTCATTTGCATATGTGACTGTGACGTTTTCCCAATATTTCGTACATTTCAACTAACTGACGTGTCGACGAAGCTATCTGCACCAACGTTAGTAATGGTCATTCCTTTTAACCAGTTGCAGAACTGCCTGACCTGTAGGAACTGCTGTAACAGCGTTTTCATGTTTTTATTTGATTGCCTTACTCCTTTACAGTTATCCACTTGCTGTCTTCAAGTCTGTATGCCCTATTCAACATCATGGGATCCTTCGTACCTTTTATAGGCCATCTGAAAGAGATTTGCAGATTGTTCTCAGAAAATGTAAGTGTTAGTGTAGCTGCACGCATTTGTGACACACCTTTGTCACATTTCAATTCTGATACTCCACATTCTACCCACCAATCCCTTTATTTGACCATGAGATCTATTGCCTTAATTATTCAAATTTTATGTTGCAGAAAAGTATTCTGAATGTGCCTGAAAGTGATGGCACATTGAACAATCGTTTAGGAACAGTCAGCAAATGTTCAGTTTTGAAAGACAGTGAACAAATTCAAAGCAAGAACACTACAGAACAATTCAGAAATAAAGTGAAACGGAAGGGTTTAAAGGCATGCAAAATTTGCCATGTTTATTTTAAGAAAGATGACTTACTGAAACACCAAACTGAAGTTCACTTGGAAATTGGAGAAAAATGGAAGTGTAAGGTAAGGTTGAATTTAATATTGATCATACTATAGAGACCTTTTATCCAGATGAAATGGCAACGCCACACCCTTTAGTTTGAAGGGACAAACAACTGTGATCAATGTTCATAATTCTGGCCACGGTAGTCAGTCGATTTCTATGGCTTCTCCGTATCGACTTCTGTAGCCAAACTTTCAAATATTGTTGATTTAAAGAATCTGGCGGCCTTTACAAATAACTGCTCTGGATAAAATGTCTATTCAAAACCTCTTTCTTTAACTTGTTCAAGTAATGAGAATTTCTTATCCCCAGCTATGTAATAAACTCAACTTCTCTGAGTGGAAGCTTCTACTGCACATAAACTATTGTCACATGAATCCGGTAATTAAATACCCCATAGTGTGCTGTGGGAAAGAGTTTAAATCTTCTTCAACATACAGAAGTCATCGAAAGACTTTGCTCCATCAGGGTCTAGAACTTTGTAGATTTTGTTCCAAAGTTCTTAAGAAGGATGATTTAGAAATGCACAAGTTTGAAGTTCACCGGTTCATTGGCGAAAAATGGATATGTGAGGTAAGGCAGGATAGTATTCGTCATTAATTAAGAATTCATTATTTGTAATATCAGTAATATCTGAATCAGCTTTCTGCTTCTTCTCCAAACAGCATTGTAATAAACATTTCCATAGCACAACGACATTCAATGAGCACTCAAATAAATTCCATAAGGAAAATACATTTCAATGTAGCATGTGTGCTTCAACCTTGTATAGCAGTGAAAGTTTTGAAAAACATCTTGATGATGCACACAGAAGCAGTAAATCTGAGGATTTTATCTCTAAACCAGGAACAATGAAATGCTGTGGGAAGGTATTGACCCAGGCAGGCTATAATCAGCACATAAAGTCATTGGATCATCAGGGCCTGGCATTTTGCCAACTGTGCCAGAAAAGTTTTGTTAAAGAAGACTTAAAAAAACACAAGGCTGAAGTACACAATATCACAGGTGGGAAAGTGAAATGTGAGGTAGGCAGATTTGGTTGTCAACATTTCTGATTTGCTTTGTATTCATAATTTTATATCAAATTAACTTAAATTTAGAAATTTAACATATCACATTGCTGTTTGCTCAGGTTTGTAATAAATTCTTCACCACGAAGCAAACATTAGCTGTCCATATAAAATCAGTCCACCAAAAACATGTATATTTGTGTAAAATTTGTGGAAAAAAATTATCTTCAAACAGAAGCAGGGAGCGCCATTACAAAAATAAGCATCATTAAGCTTGAAGGTAACTGGATAATTTAAACAATTCCTAAGGCCTTCAATCTTACTTAAAAAATTATATAACATCAAAGGATGTGGTTTCATACAATGCTGGGATGTAATCCACTCCTGTTCCCTGAGCCGCTTGTCTTTCAGTCCGACCTACAACAGAGCATTTTGCATACAATGGCTCTCTAAAGTTATTGTTTTCATGCTGATTCTTTTCTCTTCTGAAACTTAAGCACACATCATATTTTTGTGTTCAAATGCAAGCAGTACCTGAGTTTGTTATTTGAGTTGGTCTTGAGGTATTGGGAGCAATCATCTCTTGTCCTCGATATGTTGGTCCTGAGATCAGTCTGTAACAAAAGAAGTCATTGCCAACATTAATGAATTGTTTCTTTTAAGGTGATGCAATGATTTTATATTTTTGAAAGCATTTGCAAGGTGTGTTCTGAGCCAATGGAAAAACCCTGTGCAGATAAATATATTTATTTTCTAAATGTGAATGAAACTTGGAGACTCTCCTTTGAACTTGTGCCATTTTCTCAGACGACCTTCAAGAGCAGCACCTTGTGTTTGAAAGTTTGTTGCTGGGACAGCAGCACCTAAAAATCAAATATAGACAATTAGACACACAATCAAATCTGATCATTTGTTTTCAACCAGTCCTCCCCACCAAGGTTGTAAAACTCACAGCCGCCCGTAGCAGCAACCGTAGAAGATGCACCCGGATGCGAGGACGAGCCCGATGACCATGACTGCCAGCCCCGTCCACATCATGAGCGTGAACACCAAGCTCGTCTCCGCGTCTAGTTCACCTGCACAGTGGACCGAGTGAACGCGATAACGTTTTCAACTCCCCCCCAAACACGAAGCAGCACGCACGTCACATATCTACCAAAAGTGTGGTACTTCTCATTCATGTCGTTGAGCATGTACTTGAGGTCCTTGTAAGTGAGGCACTGCCGGGAGTACTCATCCCAGTGATAGTACCTGCGGTCATGAAGTAAAATGTAAAATGACATCACTTTGACCCTTTTTCCTAGAAACTAGTAGTGACACTTTGGCCTGTCTCTTCGATATACTACCAATTTCCCTCGTCATTTATTATTTTTATTTTTCTTGTGAAGCGACAGATGATACATTTCAAGTTTGCACTCACTTGACACACGCGCAGCGCCAGTCGACGCACTTGAGGCGGAAGTCTGTGCACTGGTCGTCGACCTCGCATGTCTCGTTAAACGACGCCTCTGCAGCAAATGCAACCAAGAACAGCAGGTGAGGAATCGACGAACTGTGCCTGACTGCCCTCGCTCTTATACTGGTGTCCTCTACTCCGTGTAAATGAGCCCATGTCCCATGTGTTAGGGCTACGGCACACCAGTCTGGCGCGTTTGCTTACCCTGGGCCATAGCGCCCTCGCGCATGGAGCGAGTAGGCAAACTGCTCTGATCGTGGCCCTGACACACGGTATACCAGCTCGTCCGTCTCACAATGGACTTCCCTCTTCCAACTAAGTGTGGACGATATTTTGTTAAAAACAGCCGTAAGGGCAAAGAGTAGAGGGAAGTCCCAGAGGTGGTCCGTCCCCCACTTGATGCGCTGCCTGCTCAAATCACCTGGAAGACACTCCCTGCTGCTCTTGACGAAGCCCTGCGGACAGCGGCAGTAGCCGAGCGAACACTCCTGGTCGCCGGTGCATGGCTCAGTGTCGGAGCAGTCCGACCCTGCAGCACGAAGCGGATGTATTAGAGATTTTAAAACAAAATCGTGCTTGAAAAAAAAATCACGCCCAAAACAAGAAACACTGTTAAAAAAATTTTTGGCGGGGATGGGGGGAGGGGTATGGAGGGGTACTGGGTGTGTCAGCGTAGGTACGCAATTCCGCAACACTGCGGCGTCCGTACATACTTTGAGATCAATTAATTAGTTAATTATTTTTAACATAGAAATGATACACTGTCTTTTTATCTATCTTCTGTCTCAACCCAATAATACATTTACACAATAGTACACAAGAGGAATGGATGAAGTAAACAGTAAACCGGTATCTACCTAATCTAGCATGCTTATTCCAAGCAGCTCTGCTGCAAAGTTTGATTTTGAGCTCCTGAGGAAATAGTTTCTACAATGTCAGTTTCAGAAGCTGCAAGTTCTGCATCATCAACAGCTGTGCCTGTTACTTGATTTGTTGTTAGATTACTCCACCAGTTTGAAAGGGCTCCTTTAGCTTGGTTAATGGCTCCTCCTAGTAAGTCGAAATTTGGAAAAGTGAAAATTGTTTTACAATAAAATACAACTTTAAAGTAAAAAGTAATTTTTTAAAAAGAAACATAGAAAAAAAGGGGGGAAGAAAAACTCACCAACAGCTTTTCCAGTTGAAACAAATGTCTGCGTCACTTTTCTACCACCCTCCGTGTTCTGCATGGTACTGTAAAAGTTCAATCAATCAATCAACAAGGTCATTGAACACATAAAGTCACTGCAGTCATGAGAAAAACTTACTGGCTAATTCTGAGTTTCATGTCTGCGACAGAGAGCTGGCCTGCAAATGGATGGCCTGGGTTGACGTCAAGGATACCATCATGTTCTGAGGATAGCCAGACTTGATAATTTGAAGTAGTCTTCCAAGCAGTAATGAAAGCACTATTAAATTGATCAATTTCTCTACTGTTATCTGAAAGTAAGAGGATATCCATTTTTAGACATGCAGTGCTAAATCATAAGAAAGTCTCATTCAATTATTTTCCTATATGAATACACTAGAATACACTCACCTTGTAAAAGAGATGTTCGAAGGAGGCATAGGAGATAAACTCGAAATTGTGCTCTAATCCATTCATCACCACCCTCCCAACCAACTCCATCGAGAA